AGGTTCATACAATGAAAAAAAGTAGGGATCCTGATGAAAGCCTGCTTTTTAATGAACGCATAATTAAAGTATGTATTGTGCTCATAATTGGCATTATAACAATGGTGACAGTGGGGTTTTTTATTATAATATAATTTTTGCTCATTTTTTTAGGCCATGCTCAATTTAAGTTGGTGATTCTTGAATTCTGGTCAAAACTTGTATACAATTTACATCTTCACACTGTAACTGTGCATAATCTTTGTTAAGTTAATGTGCATTATACGTGCAACGTGCTTTTTTCTGATGAACCATCATATCCACCCTTTATAACCTCTTCTGCATTTTAGCATCTTCCCTGCTGAATCATTGTCAACAGTTTTTCACATTTTTCAGACTGTAAGCGTTGAACAGTTGTCTCCAATGTCACAGATTCCTACAGTGCCTTGTCTCGCAAAAATGTACATCTATGAAAAGGAGCTTCATAGCTCATCGGATTTCTCCAGGATAAATAAAGATTCCGATTTTGAGATTTTTTTAAATTCATGCCTCTGCTAAGTTTATGGAACCCTTTCTATTTACCAATTCTGTTTTGATTGATGTTCATAAAGAAATGGTGTGTGGGAATTAAAATATACATATTTTATTTAAATGCTGTACGGTACTTTTTGTAAAATTTCAGTTAAATATTCGCATATTGCTTTGGCATTTTGCAAAAGAGCCATCATATCCTTGCCCAAAGCCCTTCAATAAATCTACAAGAACACACATTTCTCGTCGAAATCGGGTTTTTATCTCAACATCATATTACTATTAGAAGTATAAGCTCCATTAGCCAGTATTGTATATCTTTTGTAAGTGTTTGAAGATCTTGTTGCAGAGATAAACTTCTTAGAACAATGTTTGGCTGAAATGAATCCACAAATTGGTAGCTTTAGAACATCTGGGCGCCTCTATCCAGGGGGCGAGGAACAACTACACCTGGAACTCTTTCTAGAAGCCAATGACTTCTCCCTAGATTCATAGAAAGTCTTTTTTTTAATCCCTTCTCTCTCTGGTATCGAGACTGTTCCCTAGGGTATGTCTCTGCTCGAGCGTGTCATTTCCAAGTGTGAGGTCGCAAGTTATTGCTACGTGATGGTTGTAACATCGCTGTATGCTGCTATCTGTGCCGCATTTGATTTGTATGCTGTGTTACTTGTTCTATCTTTGATTACCATGCCCATTGCGTGTTCATCTATCTGTCGTCATAACGGCATGTGGTAATCACTATGTTGACCTTCCTTAACTGTGTATGACTCTGTTGAGTGTCACGTTTGATAACTAAAATGTTTAAAAAAACCCACTGACATTGTCCACAGTTTCCCCTGCAGGGTGCGCTGTTGAGTTTCTCTGCCGTACGCTGCGGCTCCACGGTCAAGCTATTCTCACGTGCTACCGCCAGAGGGGGGGGGCTTTTCTAAACTTGAATAGAACCAATTTTCTTACAGGCAGAGTCAACATGTGAGTCATAAACACGAAGACCGTACAACAGTGTAAACACACGTGTAACCTCGTCGTCTGTGAACATACTTGCACCCCAAGGAGACTTGTTGTGTTGCTCTGATCTTAATCACCACCGACCACGGTCAACCCTTGTGAAAGACCCAACGCAACAAGATCCCTCGTTTCGATCTTCCACCGAGCACACGGTTCACCCTAAACCGCATCCGCACGAACCATGGGAGATGCGGATACCCGATGCACGAATGGCAAATGTAACAAAAACTCTCCAGTGTTGCGACTGTGGTCAACCAGACGCCATAAAGACGCAATGCCCTATCCGCAAACACGAAGGAGACATCGCAGCGGTACACTGCGCTGGTCCCGACGCGGTTGTCTGGGCTTAACCACGTGGATGTGATATTGTAGTCGATGCTCTGCATCTACATGAGCCGTACGACAAGAAGAAGATGGTCAACACACTGCTGGATGAAGGCCTTCCCAAGCCGCTGCCACCTATCACGATTACTGTGACGGAACAATAACACCAACCTCCGAATAGCACGCCTGGTTATGTACGGTGCGAAAGAAGTTCAGCATACATACATCCAGCACCTGCACATGAACTGTCCCAATACAGTTCTGCCCAGTTTATCTCCCAAATTCCACGAGGTTTGATTCACTCGACAGAGTCGCGTGTTGTTACGTAGCGATGGTGAAATCCAGAATGTGTGTTTGTTAGTACCAAACAGAATAATTCGTTTATCGTGAGGCCTGCAATTATTACATTTGAAGCAGTCAAACAACAGACTCAAGCCTGTATATTGTATTTTTGCTGGTACTGTAATGTTTTACGTTAAGCTAATAAACATGAGTCCAACATTATGATATCTGTGAAAATGAGCCTGACAGCTCATCGGATTCCTATAATCGAACTGAAGATTCTGATTCTGATGTACAAATAGTTTAAAGCTATTGAGTAACCTCTAAGCCCACAATATAATATCCAGCTTAAAAAATATATCGTCCAGCAGCGCATAGAGCAGTGTTCAGCTTGAGAAGAGCTCCAGGAGTCTAGAGAAATCAGTCATCCAGCATGGGTGAAGTATCCTCCACGTCACCAAGACCCGTAGACTCACACAAAGACCCGTAGACTCACAGAGATGTATAGACCCACACGGATACCCGAAGACTCATATAACAACGTATCGATTCAGATAAAAACCCATGGACTCACAGAGACCGATAGACTCACAAACGTATATCCAGCATGGAAAGACCAGTATCATCCTCCACATTACCACAGTTGCTCATTGAGTTGTCCCAAGTGCCCCTGGAATTTTCGGTTTTATAACAATTACTTATTTATCGAGCAAAGCCTCAATAATTACTTATTCATCTATCTAGGAAAGCCACACTGCACTGGAGGTTTAATTTTAAGACAATTCCAGCCAATCGAGTTTTTTTTCTGCACGTGCGGGAGGAAACCGGAGCACGCGGAGAAAACCCACGTCTGCGAGGGGGCAACACTCGATCCCAATACAGATGGAAACATCGCCACCAGTCCACTTGTTGTACTGCCTTCTGGCATGCTAGGGCGTCACGGAACGTCGAAACCCACAGGAAGGGAGTTTCGCAACATTTGTCCGATCCACCAACCCTTGCTTCCACAGCACTGGTTTACAGGCGTGCACAGCCACCGCTGCCCGGCACAGAAGATCATATCCCACCTCAACTTATTAAGCTGACTCTTAATGCGGTGTGGGAGCTCAGAGCCCCAGAGGAAGCTGGTCATCAGTACTCATGATGATGTGGGAATTCTCGATGATAGCAGAGGCTCTCTCCCATTCCATCTGCCACAGTGAGCTGGTGATGTTGTCATGCGGATGAAGAGTGGTGCAATATTGTCCAGGTATGGACATCTGCTGTGGGGGGTCACTGCAACGTCATCGTAGGTATTGTTGATAGGCAGTTGTCAACCAGGAGAGAGCCCATTAAGATATCTCATTCATGGCAGACCTGGGACCAATGCACATCGTGACACAGACAAACTGCATGCAATTAACAAAAAATGGACATGCACACCGCTTTGATGTGTCACTGAAATGCATATCTAAAAGAATAATTTTAGGGGGGGGGTAACATGTAAAGAATCAAAAGACATGTCTAGGACAACTATGGAATAGATATTACATCCACACAAAAATACAACTCAAATTTATAACATAAAAGGTATTTTAAAACTTAACTGAAAATGCTCTCTTTTTCTCAAGAAATAAACCAAATGTATTCTTCAGACTGTGACATTGCCCTAGTAATATGCTTTGCGGTGGAAAAATGAAGCTGACTGAAAATAATGGATAATGAAAATACGACGAAAATCATGAAAATGTGTATACGACAATATTATTTTGAATCCAAAATAATATTGCCGGAGTCTATAAGAAAATAATGTACGTGTAAATGCTCATTAAATGTGTAGCGCTGAAATTATAAGCACAATGCTAATTGAGAGCCAGGCAATGGTTGGCCTGCACTTTGCTGGAAGATTCCCGCAAGCAGCGGTTTGTGTTGAACCGCATCAGAACATCTCACGTCAGATGCGTATATCGCCTACACCAATGGGCAATGGCCCACAGTGTGACTGTGGTCATCAATCTCAAACCACGGGCGACACCGTAACGCCACTTACTGTCCACTTCGATTATTTTACTGGCAGCATTTTAGATATTCACCAGGTTACTCTATGAAAGCTGTCCACTTGCTCACTCATAAACCTCGACATGAACATATTAACTTTGCTGATCAGCTTCCTACCATACAAAAGTAAAATAATGTGGCGGTGTGAGAGATTATGCCGACAGCATGTATTTGGTACTTCCAACATGTTGAGCTACGAAGTGGAAAGTTGGATTCTGAAGTGGCTTCTGATCCGTCGGTACAAAATAATGGCTTCCTGAGAATCAGTGAGATTTTCCAGGTAACATATTCAACCTCATAAATGCTGTGTGGGTGCAAGTGTTGTTAGCGGGCACCTATTATCGTTGGTATGGCGCACGAGGTACTCGTTTAAGGCCGAGCCGACCTGAAGCCGATGTGCATCAGAAACTGACGTGTGGTTGTCGGGATCGCAGCGAATCATACCACCAATGCACAGTACGCACACAAGCATATGCTACAACAGGCAGAGACAATACAATAAATTTCGATTTAAAGCTTTCGTGACTGCAATGATTCATCTTCTTTGGTTATTTCGGTAAAGTCACGTAGAATGATAATAAAATAATAAATTGATAAAATAAAATAACACAATACTCCAGCGCTGTACTACCAGACAGTCTCGCCCCCTTCACCTGATGAAGGCCGCTTGTGTTGTGGCCGAAACGTCGTGAGAATATTATTGTGTTATTTTATTTTATCAATTTATTATTTTATTATCATTCTACGTGACTTACCGAAAGAACCAAAGAAGATGAATACAATAAATCTCTTACTTTCGCCTTCTAATCTACGAAGACAAGTTTTTTTTTCTCGAGCACCCAAGGTAGGAACGGCAAAACGCGGGATGAGAGATGAGAGTGGTGTGGCCGAGAATAAGCGCAGCCGCTCATCGTCTTCCCAGTTTTGACGTTCACACACGACACCAGCTACTCAGTCAAGGCTGAGTCGACCTAGGAGGGCACATGACAGGCTTAAATACATGTTGCCATTGGTGCGCATGGCCGGGAATTGAACCGGAATCTTTGGATAGTGCGTGATCAATAGACAAAGATGATCAACGACGTTCATGGACGCATACACACAGATGATTAATACACACGCAGCCCCTCGCCACAGATCTTACAAAGCAAACAAACCATATAACAACACAGACAGGCAGATGATACGGAAAATATAACTGAGAGATGATACAACACATCCAGATAAGAGGATGTAACGTATACATAAAGAGAGATTATAAAACGCGCACACAACCACAGCAATAACAATGAAGACAATCAATCATCGGTATATTCGTAATAATTATCAGTATAGCCTTAACAGACTGTAGGGGCAAGTAATGTTAGCGAGCACGTATGAAAGCCAATATGGTACATGAGGGGGTGGTGTGGCTTGCACCACGCTCGGACGCCTTCGTCTCCCCAGTGGTGATGCCAGATGCTCATGTTAGGCTGAATCGACTTAGGGGAGGCCCAGGACCGTTTCAGATTTTCATCGCTGATTGTTGGCCGTGATCGAACTCGGGATGTAAGGGCAGTGCGCTCATCACACCCCCCACCCCCTACTACACCGGCTTTGTCTATTGTGGTGTATTCACCCACAGAGACAAGACAATGGGCAACACTGCAAACAACAACCAGCGCGGTGGGCTAATTGCTCCCGTCACGTGAGGCGAGGCGAGGCGCTCCAACGGTGCGTTGGAGGGGCGAGGGTAGCGGGGCCCAGAGCTCGCTCAGAGCGCGGGGCTCCTGTGCCCGGGGAGGGGGCTTCTCCGCCGCGTCCTCCCCTCCCGCCTCTTGGACTCGACTCCGAGCCGCGCTCCCTCTCGCACTCGGGTTCAGCGAAGCCTCCGATGAACACCGTGCCAGAAACTCGCTGCGAACGTCGCGTTTTCTTTTGCATCTCACGATAGCAACAGTTGCGGGGATTTTGTGGGAGGGGTTTTTTTCCATCCCTCCTCGAGTCGATTTGTTGCGCTAATAGTAGTATTATTTTATATGTATACTGTAAACGTATATGTTTATTGTGTAGTTTTGAGTTTGACGACGAAGATGCCGGTTATGAAAGGGTTGCTGGCTCCCCAGAACACTTTCCTGGACACCATCGCGACGCGCTTCGATGGCACTCGTAAGTGATGTTCACCTTTATGCGACGGCGGACGGCTCAAAAGAGCCCTTGGTAATTAGAGCTGTTTACCTCAAACGGGCGTTAATCAGTGCGGCGCATTACGAGCGAGTGTAGCATTACCACATGCGACGAAAGACTACGTGTGTGTGTGTGCGCGCGCGCGCGCGTGTATACATACACGATCCGTTTTAGCTCCGCTCTTGACACGCCACCGTTGTTTATTAACTTTAATATCCGCTCGAAAAACCTTCCAGGTCCCGTACGTATAATTGTTATTGTTACCGTACCTAATAAAATATGCGTTGCGCAGTTCAACTCAACAGTTGCCATTTCGTTGGCATCCGTGTCCGAGCATAGAATGCGCGTCAATGTTAAACAACAACAACAACAATAATAAACGGAGTAATTGAGCATTTGTAGGACAGTTTATGGACTGTTTTTCTTTGTTGTTGTTGTTGTTGCAAACGACGATTTGCGCTTGTGAGCCTGGAGCGCGTGTTTCAGCACCACGGACAGTGCCCGCCACTGTCGCCACGTACAAGCAAGCGCATGCGCTAACCCCGCGCACAGACTTAAGCGCTCGCGGAGTCGACAATGACAGCTGGGCCGTCTGCCTCGAAATTCAGGGCAAAAAAAAAACATTTTAAGATGGCAATTAAAGAAACGGTCACGGTCTAGCGAGCATTTGGGTTTCTGTAGAAGGCGTCATTCGTCCGTCACTGCGTGTTTCGTGTTCAGCGCGAGCCCGTGAGGGCGTGCGTGTGTGCCCTGTAACCGTCACCGTCGTACATGTGCCGCCAACAGATCTGTAATAGTATACTACCGAGTACCATCCTACTGTCAACGGAGTCTATACCTTTTAAATAAAGCCCATCCTGGCGAGCCTTTTTTTTTCATTCGGCCAATGCACTCGATTATATGGCTAATATGGTGTTGCTTTTTCGCATATAATTCACGTAAAGTACAGAAGCTCCTACCTAATGATGGCTTACATTTATTACAAGAGAGGGAGGCGATTGATATTAAAATAGATCATATATGTTTGGGTCACAGAAAACACGTGGATTCGTTCGTTCGGTTCAAGAGTGTGCTCTGTTAATAATACATTATCACAAAGGTAGTCTTCATGATGACAATGACAAGTTGGTCTGTGCGTCGAGGAGGTCATGAGGTGGGTATTGATTTGAATCATAATGAAATAGACGTGGACCACGGTTTGGGCTTTTCCCCCAAGAGGATTCCAATAACCTCTTAGAAGCTGACCTCAAGGTCACGTGGCGTCTTAGCCTACTCCAAACCCTTTGGCCCCACGAGGAGAGCTTAATGCTGTAGTATGTTTTCTAAATATGAAGGAGTATTTTTCATTTTTACCTAAATCCCCTATACTAGTCGAGCGGTTGTGCTAGTTATTGTAGTCGCAGGGCAATCTCGTGGACGTGTTGCAAAGGCCAAGGTATATTTAATGATCGACAAATAGTCCAATCAGAGAATGAATGGTTAGGACGTAATTGTAGAAAAGCTATAAAACACTTCCCATCACGTGTTAACAATATTCCACGGATTGTGCTGTTGAATGAGAAGTCGTAATTTCCATTGAATTAAATGTTTTGCACGGGGACCATGGTGTACTACTGCACAATGTTTACTGGCGTAAACACAAAATGATAATTATTATTATGCTTTTCATCCAACTACAACTTTCACACGGGATGAGTTGCCAACAATTGTATCAATATTGGCATATTGATACAATTGTTGTAAATCGAAAGGATTGACTGAATCAATGAATTGAATGAAAACTACAATCATACCATTAATACAATAGTAATACCATTAATATTGAATTAATAATGGAAGCGTCACTTACAATGATTCTTACAAGAATAAGACGTCAACATCACACAATAAGATATTGAAAACCATAAGGCCAAAACAAAGGGTAAAATACTACTTTAGCAGCATTTTTAGTATCTAGAAATATATGTACGTATGTATGTTGAACTTCTTTCGTACGTAGCCAACCGCGCTAATCGGAGGTGCGGGGGAAGGACAACAACTTAAAATAACGTGACATTACGAAGCTAGGCTAGTTTATACTGTAGTATGATATATTCTTTCAAAACAATCTATCAATTGAGTATAAATGATGGTCAATATTGGCAAAATAATGTTGTCAGCAACGGGGTGAGAGATAGGGTTAAGCGGTCGGCTGGGAAAGACCTATTTCGTGAAGTGAGGGGTACATAACATGTTGGAATTACACATAGGGATGAGGGCAGAGGTGATGGTTTGTTTATTACACTTAGGTCCCTTATTAAACGGATCTACACAACGCACTAGAAGTGGACTATATGGCCCATGTCAGCTTGGTCCAGTCGGGTTGCCATGGGAATATAGGCTGAGGCCACTTGTCGTTTACACAGACCAGGTCGACTCGCTTCCCAGTGGTGATGGGGACATGGCATGAATCGCTTTGTTGTTCCATGAGACTGACGCATTGTATATTATACATTTTCTGCCAACGTTTATTGCATGGGTGGAGAGGATGATAGAAGAGATTGGTTCCTGTCTCAAATTGCAGTAATTTGCTCTCTGGATGACAACATAAGTAATATGGTGAAAGTACATTGGAAACTTCCTTGATTACATACAGTGATTATATACACTGCAGAACGAAATTTTAAACCAGAGTGGGAACAATGAGTGGGTGGCTTGGACCCGTAATTAATCAAGGTGGAAGGTAGATGTGGTTAGATAAACATCCATATATTAACAAATAAGAGAGGAAGGTGGATTTTAGGAACCATTCCTGGGTTCTGAGGGTATAATCTGGTGTTATTATGAAGCACAAAGTGAGGCGAAAACTGGTGTTTGTAGCTGTAGGAGTGCATCATTATGAAATTGCTGGAGTAGCAACACGTTATTATGTTAACTTATGCAACAGTGAAAATAAACAGATGAGTTTGCTTCAAAAAGGTGCAAAAGCCTGTTGTTTTGTACATGTTTATGCCTTGAGATCAAACAAATAGAATGTCGATCAAATGGTATCCAATGTATTAATATTGCACATCGGCCTAATGCAGTCGTACACAACGTGTCGAAACTAAATTGCATACAGTAAATTAATGTCACGTTAAAATATGATTCTGCAGCAACAGCGCCCATGGCTAAACATTACAACTCGTTTCTGGATTGCATTTTGCACTGAATATAGGTTCAAGCGGCCCAGTTGTGTGATTGGGGAGCAACAATTTAGCGGGCAGTAGTGAGGCACTGAGAGAAAGAGAACGGGTTGAGAGACTGAGAAGACAGAGATTGAGTGGGTAGCTCGAGAAGTGGCAGGGCATGGTTTCAGGTGAAGTAATAAATTGGCATGCAATGTAGTCATGCAGTAATGCACTGGCCACTCCTAATTGTATACAGCTCTTATTTATATATATTTTTTAAAAAAAATTGTACAAGAAAAATGCATTACTCGAAGTAATGTTACATTACCATCAATCCTTCTGGAGTTTCTTTTTCTTCACATTTTGATGTGAAGCATTAACATTTGCAGAAAACGGAACACCGTATAGGGGGGAAATGTGTGAGTAATTTTCCAGCACAGTACGCATGAGATAAAGCTTCCTTGGCCTTTCTTTCCCCAAAGCCAGTGAAGGACACGTCCGATATGTAATTTCTAACCTTTAATGGTGTGCTTCTCATAGATGAGGCATTTTTGATTCGGCATGTCACAGCTGTGGCTCCACACCAGTGCGCTGCTATGCTCTATAGAGTTTGGGATTAAAGGTTATGCTTTGAGAGGCCAGGGTCAGTAATGGACAAATAGGAATTTACAATTCTTTGCACTGCCTTTCTTTTTCCTGTGTCGTGGCAATGTGCCGCTGATAAGATTCGGCCGAAGAGAACGAAGCTACCTTCAAAGGGGAAGCAGCTTCAATGCGACTGTAAACGTGGCGTCACAAGTTCGTTTTTTTTTTATTTTGACAGAGCTTGTGTACATCTGTTGATGGTAATTGCTTGATCACTGTAATCATGACAACAATATATGACATGAATTCATTCAAACGTTAGTGCCACTGATTATATTGAAAATATACCTGGCGATTGATTGCCCACTGCTTCAAAACCAAATCATAAATAAAAAGATAATACTCCTTAAAATAGTGTGTGTACAAAGGCACTTAATTTTTGTATGTTGAGGGAAATATATGTGGAGGCGTATTGTATGCTATGTGTTACTTATATTCTCCGCAATGACGCACGTGATTATATTGTGGTACATAACCGTATTGTGTGTAATTGTAAGTCGTTACAACAGTGCACAAAACACTAAAAAAAATTTACTCAAGGGCGGCTTGTTAAATTATTGTCGTTAAAGCTGGCTTCAGGTGCCATATTGAATTACATAATACTGGCTGAAATAAACGGGCCTTTAGAGACAGCGTGTTGGGTTGTAGTAGTACTCGTAAGCAGTCCAAAGTTATTATAAAACAAATATACAACAAGTGTATCATCACAGTCAGCTACCAACAATCCACTGCTGGACGAAGTCCTCCTTAAGCCATCGCCATCTCTGAAAGTCCTGCAATCTTACAATCCCCTGAAATGTTACAATCCCCTGCAATGTCTTGCAATGGTACAATCACCCAATCCCGTGCACACGATCTGATTTAGGGGCCGTCCATAAATGACGTCACGCGATTTTGGACGATTTTGACCCCCCCCCCCTCGTCACACGGCGTCATAAAAAGTTAGACCCCCCCCTCAAATATGACGTCACAAAGCTCTGCCCCCCCCCCAAAAAAATATAACATGCTTCAAATCGCTTTAAATTATTGTCATTGTAGTCCGTATTTAATGTGGCGCTGCACTCTGATGTTGTAGGAGAAAACATTTATTAAAAAGTCGATTTCATTAAGTAGAACGTGTTGTCTATATTTATATAAAGTTGCGCATTTTGATGTGACGTCACATTTCTCACCCCCCCCCCCCCCCCC